ACATGTGATAGCAGAACTGAGTTGGGCATGCACAGGATGAGTCACATCATTTGAAACTTAGCCCTGATTGGAGAAATTGGAAGTGTTACAACTGACCCGCGTTACAACTATCCCCGGTCTCCCCTACAGTGTTGCGTTAGACTGCTATATTTTTGTGTTCTTTATGCTGTAGATTTTCACGTCTCTGGAATAGTCGGCAGTAATAATTATGATTTTCTGTAAAATCATATTGATATGACACGTGAATTATTCGTAGATGACTGTTAGATTAGTTTGATGCTGCCGACATTTTCGGCTGTGAAACTCTGGGTTAACTCAGAGAGCTGAAGATAACGTGGTGCTGACCTCGCTCCGTGGTGTACAGGGCCGTTTATTCTCATGATTAATATTAACAATAAAATATTAGCCCAACATCATGAAGTCTGTATGTGTTTTATAGTGTCGAACAACCTTTGTATAGTTAAACCTACCAGTTACTACATGACGGAAACACCAACGTTACTTCTTTTATGCGTTTATACGCAGGTCACGCTGATTATTGAACAAAAACCCAAAGATCAGATGTTAATCGTTATTATTTGCTCTCTCTCCTCCTTAAGCTGTGTACCGGGACCTGCATTTTGTCGCTGGTAATAACCAACACGTGCTCTAATAACAGCTCAATTGCTTGCGAGGCAAGCGGGTCTATCCCACGCTTTGCCGTGAGACTGCGCAGACGTCTCTGAAATCATCGACGCACTTTTGCAAAGAGGCTCTATCTTGACAAACCGACCAGACATCTGAAAATTAAACCACTACATTTTCAGCTAAAAAATAATAAAATGGTATTTGGTGACACACAAACAGGGTTTTTCAAGGTTCAGTTCTGTTAGTTTCCACATGGCGGTTGTTTTGTGCTAAAAACAATGGCCACCAGGCTAAAGCAATGGTTTTGACTCGATCAGCGTTAACCCCGCCCCCTGAGTTTGATGGGTGAGGTTGACAGATAAAATTATTTCATGGTGAGACCTGAAGGAGTCAACTGTGCCAAAATGAATTAATTAAATACACCATTAAATAATTAATTAAATGTGGCAATAATTAATTAATTACATGTGTCGTAAACATTTATTTAATTTTTTATTTCCAATTTTAATTAATTATTGACACATTTAATTAATTACTTAATGGTGTATTTAATTAATTCATTATGGTGGACATCAATTTGAGTTTCATTGCAAATGGTGTGAATACTTATTAAAATTTAATTTAATCCATTTTGGAATAAAGCAGTAACACTGCAAAATGTAGAACAAGTGAATCGCTGTCTAGATGCACTGTAAGACTTTTTAGTGTTTTGTTTCCAAACTGACATTCTAAAAAAAATTGATATATATATTTCATATTTCAATACAGGGTGAAAGCAAATTTGTGTGTGGCCAGCCTAAGTGTGATAAGGAGTGGAGTTATGCAGAGGTTCGTAAAATGGCACTTCTGACCCCTGAGGAAATGGAGCACTTTGAAAAGACCATGGCCTTAAATGCTTCCAAGCATTTCTTCGATTCCAAATTAGTGAGTATTATGCTCTATCAATCATGAAATTTTAGTTGACTAATAATATTAATGCAATTGTTCAGTCTGTTCTTTTATTTTTATTTAATGTCATTTGAATTTTATGGTACCTTTGACCATTTCATTTTTCCGGTATGTGACAAAATGCCCCCTTCAATCTTTTGGCAACACCTTGTTGATTTAGCTTAAAACTAATGGCTATGCATACGGATATAATCCACTGTCTACTATATCACAGTGTCCTGGATGCAACTCATCTGTTGTGAGAAAGGATGTATCCAACCTGAGTGTCTGCTGCAGCTTGTGCACCAGAAAAAAAGGTCGGAACTACGAATTCTGCTGGCAGTGCTTGAGGGAATGGAAGGGTACACGGCCACGGTCAGACCGCTGTGATAATGATGGCTGCAGCAATGAAGCACTAAAAGCCCTGAAAAACTGTGAAGATATCATCTTTGAGTCTGTGAAGGATGTCAGTGGTTGTCCCTCCATTCGTGCCTGTCCCACCTGTGGGTCACTGGTGGAGCATAACAGAAAGAAATGTAAAAATGTCATCTGCCCCAGATGTAAGATAGAGTTCTGTTTTGTATGCTTGAATCTCACTAGTGAATGTGCAGGAAAGACGGGGCAGTATTATGGAGCATGCTCCAGTGGTGTTGCCCCTAGGCAGACCTGCATACCTGTATGGCAGCAGAAATAATGCAAACACAAGGATAAATGTTTAATTTTAAAAAATAAAATCAAAGACAATTTCTTTCCTGTGTTTTATCGGTCTTTTCTTATCTGTTTCTTATTGTGGAGATCTGAAAAAAAAATCTTCTTCATATAAAACATGCAATGATTCAGGAAAGTGCTACTATTGAAGGAGTTGCTTGTCAATTAGTGTGAGACATCACCGAGGGGCATCAGTAAAAATGAATTTAAGCCGAGTTTGTCTTCAGTGAGTTTATTCCCAGTTTTACACAGCATTTGCTGATAGCTCACTTAACTGAAAATAGTACTTACCTGGAATTTATATTGCTAAGCAACATTACCAACATAGGGAACAATGTTCCCTCTAAGCTGCGCACGTGCGCAATTGCGCACTGCTGGCACGGTCTCTGCGCACAGAAAATATGCATTGCGCACAAGAAAAAACTGAACCTGAATTGAAATTAAATTTAAAACTTCAACAATTCTGTTTTGCAGTGCTAGTCAGTAAGTGACTGGCTGCTCCCGTATGGGATTAGAACAATGCCAC